ATGTGTGCGTGCTATTTTTACCCCATTTTCTCCCACTTCTCTGTCTACATCCATGGAAGTCTTACACAGAACACTAGCTATTTGCCTCAAATTGCCTACCAGTGGCTCCTGCCTTTACGAGAAACCCAGCCAGGAGCAGAGATGCAGATGGGTTAACACTCAGGTAGCACCGACACAGTGGTCTGATTATGCCATGCTTATAGAGCATCGGATCTGTCAGGTGTCCTTCTGGCAGTGCAGCTGATGACAGAGGGAGACAGAACAGCCAGAGCCAACTGGTACATTTGATGCTGAAGATTTCATTGTGACAGGATTTAGTAAATGAAAACTCAGCCGACAATCATCAGGAGAGGGATTATTTGACACAGGAGAAAGACTGTTCCCTACGTCAGCTTGCTCTGGATACTTTGGCTCTCTTCCATTTTCTTAGCGGAGGGCAGATAGGAAGAAAGATGTAGGGAGAGGGGGAACCAAACATACATTTAGCCAAGTTACTGCCAAATTGAGCAGGTTTTTGATGTCACCTTTAGGTACAGCTGGAACAGACTCGAAAAGAGCTCAGACAGAATCCCAGCTTCAAACTGAAGAAGCCGTAGGAACGTGCCAGCTGCCACTAGGTCACAGTCTGCTTTTCTAGGATAAGCAAAATTGAGGACTGACAAGAATTAAATTTCTTGGATTTTACTTGCTATTATTTGAAACACATGCACTGGTCAAGTATGGACTGCATAGTCAATAGTTAACTTCAAATGAAGTAGAAAATGTACCCTTCTAATTAGATATAGACTATTGAAATTGTGTGCAGTATGTAGGTAATAAAACATGTTTAAAAGCAGAAGAAAACATATACAATAGGTGTGGCTTTCTCAGTGGATTTTTTTATGCTTTTATCTGTCTAATGCAATACAAAATAAAACATCAGTCATCCAGTAGTCTCTGGGAGGGGAGGATCACGTGAGAAATGGTCAAACTCTATAGAACCAGCTTAAGAGACAGACTTTGAATTTTCGGCAACAGAGCTGTGTAGCTGTAGATTGGAACCAAACCTTTTCTGCCAACATTAGTGAATAGTACTGAAAGCTCATGCAAAATAGGACAAGCTAGACCCTTGACATTTTTCTCACAATTGTTGCTTTTTAAATCACTGCCTTTGCATGCAGAAGTTTGTTGGATTCATCCATTATGCATGTCCTAGAAATCTGATAGAGCTCTCATATGTTCCTTCTAAGAAGATAAAGCCAGCTGCAGTACCCAATTGTAAAGATGTTGTTAGTGACTTGAAATGCCATTAAGTGTATTATTTGATACTGCTCTGACTTGAATCTTTTGGATGGGAATTTAAAAATGTTAGTCCTCTCTGATTTTAGTGAACATTAGAGACAGCACACAATTATTCATAAGAAAGGGCTCAAGGGGTTGTTTCTGGGTCCTATAGTAAAGATTTCATCTTTCTGCTGATAACATAATGTGTTATAGAAGACATTGCATAGAAGTAGCTGTAGATCTTGGTGCCTGCCTTTTTGAGAAGTGTTTTAGGAATGTGACTTGTTTCAACTAACTTGTTCATGTACCTACCGGATTGTGGTCAGCCTGGAATTATTGTGTGGTTTTTTTCTGTTATTTCTAAAAGAAGGGTCAGCAATGTCAGTGGCTTTGTTTTAATCACGTTTGATGAATAGCGATTTGCTGTGACATTTTCACCTACTACTGTATTAGGTTAGCTGTTCATTAAAAACTCAGGAGAAGGTGCCATCAACAATAGTCTTTCTTCCAGCATCTGGATTTCCTAGTTCTCCCTCCAAGTTTGGTGTGAATAAGCCAGCTGAAAGTAGGATGACATCTGAAAAATGTATGATCAAGCTAACTTGTCATATTAAATACTGTCATAATTATTATTACTACCTAGTTCTGCGCGATTTCGTTGGCAAGCTACACAAATCTTTGTAGAGATATGCTCTGTTGTGTGTGACACAAACATGGAACACAGATGCTACTGATGAATTTTTGTTATTGATTTTTGTTGACACAAAAAGTGTACAAAATAGAGTCAGATAAAAAAATGGAGACCTTGCCCTGGTTTATGTTTTTCTTCCTTTATGAGAGATTTAATTGGAAATATAACAGGAAATTAGACTGGAAGATTACCAACTGCATGGCTGGCATGCCGTGAAAGATCAAGTGCCTGTGTCTTTCATTTTGCACCCCAAAGCAGCTTTATCAAGTGGCTGGGATTTCTTGTGGTTTTAAAGATACCAAATATGACATCAGCAGCTTCAGTAGCAAAAATATTCTAAGGTATGTGGGGTAGAAAAGCTACACTGGTTCTCATGCAGTGTTTGGAAGTTGAGGATGAAGAACCTTTTGCCTTGCCACCTTAAAGTGAAAAAGGAAAAAGAGAGCTACAGAAGCTAAACAGTCAGTACACAGCCCTGTTGACTGTTCATTTCCTAAGGATCTTTCCAAAGAAGCATTTAGGAGGATTGCTTTTTCAGGGCTAGCCTCTAGAGTATTTCATCGTGTCAGCCAACCGTTCCACAGAAGTATAAATTAATGGCAACATACCTCTTACAAAAGTCCCTTTTGGATTTTGCCAGTTTACCTTACCTGGTACACAGTGTGTCTCCGGAGAAAGTTACTCAGAAGTATCTACTTGGGTGTCATTTATTCATACAAAAGAGATCAGAGTTAAAACTGTAAAACCAGAGAGGGAGAGAAAGAAGAGTGCTCAAGTCTTTCTGTCTGTCCCACTTAGGTGGAAAACTGTTACCCCGGGGCCAAAGTCACGCGGAGCTAGTTTCACTGGCTTGAGGACTGTGCTCGGCAAAGATTTGTCTCTCTGCAGAGGGATCATAGTGCCATGCCTCTTGACAGAATGTCATTTCTTAAAGCCACATTTATCCCGGGGACCTTGTCAGAAGTGGGTTACCATCCTCCACGGACTCTGGTATTCAGTAGCTGTCCAAACCTGGAAGGAAGCACTTGCGCTTGTGAAACTGTGCTGGAGATAGTTCAGCTCTTTACATGTGACGAGAAGCTTTTAAACCAGACTACCTGAAATTGGTTACCCGCTTCTTTCGAAGTTGAAGCTGCCAGAAATATTTCACTGTTGACAACCGAAAAGAGGGGGAAAAGCCAGGACCAAGGGACCCTCTATATGACATAATCTAAGGCTATTTGCCTAGTACTGGCAACAGCAACAGGGAGCTTCAGCATCTTTAGGAAGTTTAAATGAAAAGATTATAACTCTGTATACACCTTGATATCGATCACAACATCATCACGAGCATCATCACAAAAGACAGCTAAACTTGACTATTCATTTCAGAGGCCACAGTCTTTTCCACAAACTGTTTCAGTACAGTTTTATGCACCCACTAGTGGTTTTGGCATCTGCAGATTAAATACAGTTTGAACTCTTATCGATGCAATAGATGGAATTATCTATACCCCAAAAAAGGTTGCATATAGCAGCTGCAGATATTCCATATCTAACACGTGGTATTTTCAGGAAGGGACAAACTGGAGCAAGACAGATGAAAACATTTTGAGCCTTAGGAGTTCAGGTCAGAGCACGTTGCAAGAGAGAGATTTGGCAGATATCAAGGATGGAGAAGTTGGTATTTTCCACAGCTTTTTGCTATGTTGACAGTGCAGCTTTAGTTATAAAAATTAAGCACATTTCACAGAAAGAGTAGAAAAGAACAGTAGGAAAAACACTCATTTCTCTGCGGGGATGTGGTTTCTTTTGAAGTCAATGGGAGTTGCTTGCTTATATGGTCTCTGGAAGGGAAAAAACAGTCAAAAAACTGCAACAAAAAGACTAAGCTTACATTTGAAATGGAAGGACTTCACCACAATTACCTGATGATACTCTGTCTGGTTTCTTCATTCAGAAAAAGCGGTATTAGAACTGCTGTGTAAGTGGATAGACTGAGATTGGAGGGTAGGTTGGCGAGATGTTCCTGGTTGGCCTCACTGCCATGGCCCTGTCAGCACACATCAGCTGTAACCCATAGGAACTAAATACTTGTGAAAACAAGTTGTATTTCATCCTTCATGCTTTTTGAATCTAATCTTGTTTTAACGGTTTGCTGGGTGTACCAGATGATTGATGCTGTCACACTGCAGATAAAATTTGTCATTCTGTCATTTTTATTCAATATTTTAGAAGCATTTTGGTGCAAGCTGGAATCTGAAGCAATGCTACACATTTTTTCTATGGCTCACCTTAGTTATAAAAATAATCCATCTAATTCTCAGTGATTCATTGGCAGACATTTCCTAAATACGGACCTAGAATGAATTAGTAGGTTAGTTGAACCTGAATATGTCTTGAAATACATGTGGTGTATTTCTTTTTAAATATGCTACAAGGAGATATAAATGAATATAGGATCAGAACCTTGTGAAATACATGAAAGGAGAAGACTTATGTTTTGTTGCATGCGTATTTGGCCTAGTTTCATAATAAACATCATAGGATAATATCAGCTATTCACAACAATTACATGGGATGTAATGAAAAGCTCATTACACTGAAAAAAGGTTTGAGCTCCTGAAATGTCAGCATATAATAATGTCAGAGTTTTTACCTGTAAAGATGGCCTGCAAGGACTGTGCTTTGTTCAATTCAGGGCTGGGGCCTCAAAGCGACATTTAAATGGTCTTGTATCATCCATGATTATTAGCAGGTCATAAAATTACTTTAAAGAGGAAAGAGACTGACTTCTGGTGTAGCAGGAGTTCCATTATATACTTTAGAAAGATATTTACCTTATCTTCAAGTCTACTTGACTTGAATTTACTGTCCATATGAAATTATGAAGTTGCCTGTGTCACAAGTTACAGGTTAGTGCAGCTGAACCCAGAGAAATAAGGTCTGACTCGGGGTGAAAACAATGAGCTGCACTTGCTTGTTCCTTTAGAAACCAGCTGCAGAAGATTGGTTTTGGTACACTTCCACATGTGCTACATTATTTGCTCTTTCTGTGTTTCAACAGGCCTTGAATAGGGGCATCGCTGCTGTCAAGGAAGATGCTGTGGAAATGCTGGCCAGCTATGGGCTGGCATACTCCCTGATGAAGTTCTTCACGGGTCCGATGAGTGACTTCAAAAATGTAGGTCTGGTGTTTGTGAACAGCAAGCGAGACAGGACCAAAGCAGTTTTGTGCATGGTTGTGGCTGGCGCTGTAGCTGCTGTATTTCATACCTTAATAGGTAAGGTCACTTCACATCTAATTAAGTCATCTTTTAATTTGCTTCCTTCTCCTGTTCTTCAAAATGATTAATCTGTAGGCTTAAGATTTCATTTGTTAGTGCAACAGGAGATGCAAAAGAGATTAAATCTCTTGGGCTGGTATCATGCCCATCCACGCAATTTTTATGACTTTTTAAACAGGTTGTTAAGTGGCAGCTTCCACCCCCAGGGCTCTCCTGCCTGGCAGCAAAACACACTGCTGATCTCTTTCAGTCAGGTGTGTGAGCAAAACTGTGGCAAGGTTGACAGGTTGCATGAAGCTGATAGCTCAGCCTTACTGTTAGGTAGTGAGGATCAACTAGCAATATCTGCCCAAATGGGTTTAGCAGGACTTCAAGCTGTGCTTGGTAGGGCTGTTGGTCAGAACTTGGTGGCATTGTCGGTGTGCTCCCTCTGTACCCCTTTCCTACTTATCTCACAGTACAAAACTCTGAGCAAGTAGGTGCCAGCATCCTCATTAAAATACCAGGTATTACTCCCTACTAGTGCTAGTCATCATCCATTTCTGTTGAATAATTGATCTGTAAGATAAGAAGTAGTTACTAAGAGCACTTTATGCCAAACTGAGACCGGCTCCCTGAGTGTACTCTGAAACAAAGAAAATACACAAGCAGATATGAACTGAACATAAAAAGTAAGGCAGCCACAGGATTTGCCAGTTTCTGAGAGCCTGGAGAAATGGGATATCAACCCAAGCATCAGCCACAGCAATAAAAAGCCACGTGACCTGGAAGACTCTAACTTCCTCCTCTCCAAGAACCATACCGGATTCGCTGCACCTTCTGGCTCATTCTACAGAGCCGAAACCTCTGGACCTCAGCAACAAGGAACAGGAGACGCTGGAGGAAGAAGCAGAGAGTGCATTGCATTCAACAGGTAAAATCCTAAAAGCTGGGAGCTCTAAGGGATGGGAGGAGGGAGGTAATGCAACAGCCTACAGGGGCATGTGTTGGTTGACAGGCAGTAGGGTTGAGTTGGATGACCAGCAGCAGGGGGTCATTCCATCGCAGAAAGATGGGAAATGCGAGTATGGTGGCAATATCCAGAATTGCTGTGAAATTACAGAGTGGCCTGGAAGTGAGGCACCATTCATTATCAAGCTGTTAGTATCTCAAAAGCCGCATGTGCTGCTGGTGAGCTTATAGAATAGAATAGAATAGAATAGAATAGACTATTTCAGTTCCTGCCAAAGTAGGTACAAGAGCCATCTGGTAAATACGGATGCCCCTGCTCTTATCCTTTAACAGGCTGCCAGCTATATTCACCAGCTTTATGTGCCTCCCAAGCACTCCAGGTTGCCTGATCATCATGTCTCCTGTTCCACCACTGATACAGCAGCCCTGTGCTGTTTACCTTTACTCCGTGTTACAGTCGTAATAAGTGCTTACAGTAATGGCTCACTAGCCATGGCAACTCTGTGCCAGGGATAAGCTGTTGCTAGTTTTATAAGCTGAATCCATGCACTCAAGTCAACTTAATTCACTGATATTGATTGGTCGCTTCCTCAGTATGTTTACAGTTGAGGCTGCTTTATTGAGTCAGTATTATAAACTTTGGGCCATTTGTACGTTTGGCTCTCATATTTCTGTGCTTGGAATGTTTCTTCAGCCCCCAGAGCTGCTCTTCTAGTTGCTCACTTGTTTTCCTGTCAGTGCTGATCAAAGTTTTTGGCTTTGCCAGCTGGATAAGGAAATACTTTCTAGTCGTCCAACATTTTATTTTAAGCTACGATAGATTTTAAGAAAATTTAAAGTATAACTATCAAATTTCCAGGTGAAAGACGTAGCTGGATTTTCCATGTGGGACTTCTTATTGAAGGGAGGTGTTTGAGGCAACCATTGGAAAACATGCCGGATAAGTTTCTTGCCTTTGCCTGGAAGTAGAGCCCTGCTGAGTTCAGAACCTCTGAAATGCCCTCTCTGCAGATATTAGGAAAAAAAGAAAAAAGAAGGCTGTACTTAAAGTACGTGCTTTAAAAAGTCCTGAATTAAAAGGCTTCACACAATCTTTCAGCTGCTTATGGCGGCAGACTGCAAAATATTTTTTAGTATTTTAACTTGTCTATGCCTGAAAATATGCAAAGGCCGCAGCAGAGGCTGGCGGAGCGCCTGAGAGAATGGAGTTAGTCAGATTCTAGCACCAATTGCCTGGGTGACGTTGCCAAGTTTTATGTTCCAAGTTTCCTTTGAACCTGTTTCAAGTCCTGATTATTCTTCTCTGACCCACAGATACACAACCTGCCTAGCAGGAGGAGGAGGCGGCTTCCAGTGGCAGACAGGCAGCCTCCTAGGACCTGCAACTACTCCCCAGCAGCTGCAAGCCTATCACAGGCTATCTACAGGAGACACAAACTGGGGTTACTGATGCTCAGCAGATGAAAAAGAGAAACAAACAGCGCTCAGGGGACTGAATTTCTTCCACATTCTGTATGTATGGGGCTAAGGAAGATGACATGACTGTCTGCTGTGGACTGTTGAAGCCCAGGATGGAACAGGGAAAAAAAGCCCAATGAAATAAGGAGGAGTACCGAAAGTCAGAAGGAGAAAAACAAGTGGTGGTAGAAACACAGTGACCACAGTGAATCATCACATTTCCAACTGTGATAGAGACTATTTGCAGTCTGCACACACAGCTCCTCACAAACAGCAGCCTCTACTTATTTAAAATATCAAAACAGACCGTTTCACCCACCTGACTCATGCTTCATTGCTTCAGCACCAGCTCCCCACCACTGCTTCCCCACTGGGGCTAATGCAGTCCTCTGTGGGAGTGACTGGCTGAGCCAAACCACTTCAACTCACAGTTGGAAGCTCTGGGTCCCTAAGTCATCACCCCACCACATTCCCATGAACATCTGCGAGGTCCTCACCAACAGTTTGTATCACTCCCCTGTACGGGTAGCAGTAAGATCCAAGAAACACTTTGAGCTTGACCAAAGGGATTTGAAACCATATTCTTGTCCTGCTTATAATGCTGCTGCAAACCTTGGTCAGTACAGTATTCCTGGATTTGCTGTTTCAGTTGCGATCTGGAAATAAAAGATAGTATGCTGCCTTCCTTCCCCTGTGCTATTATGGGGGCAGGTGCTGCCACCAGTTAGGGTTTCCTGGTGGGAAGTTCGCTATGTAGCCAGGGTCTAAAGCGTCTCGTTATTTCATAGATTGGCTTTTGGTGGGAATACTGGGCTGTGAGAGAAGGGATTCAAGACACTAAGCCTGCCTGTGCACATTTTTGACATCTTACCAAATAGTCAGCTTGACAGAGGAGAGAAATCATTTATATAACATTATGCTAACATAATGCATTTCATGGTGCTGCTGGTAAGCCCTCCATACTAAGTGGGTGCTTTTAACACCAGTGTCATGAAAGACGTGCACATTTTCTTTGGCAATAAAACAGCATTGTTCAGCCTTTCACTAGTTTACTGAGAAATAGTATACTGAGAAAGTTTATTTCCTTTTGCATATTAATATTACTTTCCACAGCTCTCTGAGGTTCTGGAAATGACAAGGCAGAAGTTGCTTTGGGGAAACATCCTCTTTGCTTAAGTAGGCATCTGTAACTGGTGCCCACTGCACCTGATGAAAAATTACATGATGGATCATTTGTCATCACCAGGCAAAAAAAGGCTGGAACTTTAGTAACCAGGCAAACCTATAGCAGACTGGATGGTCAAGACATGCGAGTCATTTGTTTTGTGCCATTTATTACTGACAGGCTAGCGGGCATGGGCCGCCCCCTGCACAGATGGCACGGGGGAAAACGTTAGCAGTTGCTAGTAATTCCACTGATTCTTTTGAACTTCCCACATGCATGGTGACTGCATGTACATGAAAGATCTGCATAAGAAGCGAGACATAGGTGTAATCCCACCACTTCCAGTGTAACGCTACTGGAATTTTCTAGAGACTAGGAGTTACAGAGTAGCTTATGACAATCATCTGAACTATTTTTTCCAATCAATCTTGTTCCAACATGCCCATTGTATTGGCTCGCACTAAACATTTTGCCCTGGAATACAATTATAGCACAGGAACACAAATCAGAATGTAATCCAGGCTTGCTATTTTTTTTCTTTCTAAAAGATGGTAAAACGTTATTCATTAAAACTGTGTCCTACTTCAGCATCTTCAGATGGCCATTGCTAAAGCAGTAACATGCTTCCCTAGCTGCCCCAACCCTTCTCCCACGACAGGGGCGGTTTCTTATCAGCCAAGTATTCAGGGTAAAGGAAGAAGGAAGAAAGCCTACGGCCAAAGCATTTGTGGATTTTAGGATAGCAATGATTGTTTTTTAGTTAAAACAGGCTAATTTTGAGACTTATGAGATGTTGGCCTACCTAAAGGTATTTTAGAGACCAACAGTCATTGATAGATTTTGGAAAGTCATCTAATGCAATTTTTGAACTAGAGCTGAGCACAGAAAGAGATGATTGCAGTAATCAGTCTGCATTGAGATGTTCCTAAGCTGTTTTTTTTTAAAAATTCATTTATTACTATGAGCAAAAAAATCAAAGCCTAAACCACTCTGATCATCTGGACTTTCACAAGGGGGACACAGGCTTTTGCTTCTGCTTTAAGTCAGGCTAATCAAAGACGTAGAGAAATCTATGTACCCTGTGCCATCTCCAAATGAAGATTTCCCAATCTTTTTTTTTTTTTTTTCCAAATTGGCATTTTCCTATCTGCCCAAATCACTTAGCTGAACAAACTCCTGACCAGCACCAGTTTTGGCCATGAGCCATCTTTCTGACAAGCAGCAGAATAGATTTTTACTTCTCAAGTCTCCAAGTTCTTTTTTAAAATTGGCAGCAAAGTATGAAAATGGAATGCATCTAAAAAGAACACACTTTAACCCGACAACATTTTTGGATTTTTTTTCCTCCAGTAAAGCTAATATTGACATATGTAACGCTGTGTCTTGAAGTAAATGGTATCACTTCCTATGAGGGTTTCTTCTTGTTTTCTTTATGATGTAAGTATAACATGCTGGGTAGTAGACAGCTCCAAAATGACTACGGTACAGCTGTTTGTTTGAGACTGCTGGCATCATTAAGAGTGTGTTCAGTTGTTTTAAAAATGTCTGAAGTATATGTGGTAGTTGTTGGAGAAATCGGTGTAGGGAGAGATCCAATTAGGTATGCAGTTTTCAGTGTCATTTCTTAAGCTTCTGGGTCTTAAAACTCAACTGGAAAAGCCAAAAGCAAGAATTTCTGCCTAAATTCTGTAGCAAAACTAATCCATAGATGTATCAAAATAAATGAGGTATTAGAGGAGAGCAAACAGGCAGCTTGTCTTGGAGTTGGACTTCTCTGTTTTGGTTGAAATGATGCAAGGAATGGGAAGAGCCATCTGCTTTAGATTCATGTAAAACTCTTCAGCTCTGTTGTCTGTGTTAATTAATTTTGTACCATGCTTCATAATAAGTTTGTAAGGTTGGCCAAGGTTAAGTTCTAATTGCATCAGCACTTGCTTTATTCGCAGCTCAGAGACACATGCCTGTATATTTGTCATTAAATCTCAGCTTGCTGAGTCCTTCGTTCTGAGGATAGAAGCATTCATGGACATCAGCAAAAGTGATTGTGTGCTTTCACTGACATGTGGAATAGTTGACTATTTTAAAACTAGCTTTTATCCTTAGCCATTATCATTTTAAAATCAAAATCACATTAAAAAGTGCAGTTAGACTTTTTTTTTGGATGGGGGAGAGAAAAAAGTATCTTAAAGCTTACAGGGCACAGTGCTGATATCCCTAGAAATCTTAAAAATGTGGTGCTGTGGGCTGTGGTGGTATAAGTCCCTTGAGAGTGCCCTGCCAATAAACTACAACCCTGTGGTGAACTGTCTGTTCCTAGAAGTGAGAGTAGTTCAGCCTCTGACCCCTGTGATTCTGTGCATTTTTCTATGATAGTAAACTTGGGGAAAAAAAAAAAATTCAAACATCTCAGTAGTTTTTAGAGCCAAAAAAGTTACTTATTACTCACTTTCTAAACACTTCAAAAGTCTCATTTAAAGCAGGCAAAGCCGAGCAGGTGAAGTGCACGGAGAGAATGGAGGGTGACTTCTGTGGCATGCTGTCTTCCCAGCACTGCAGTGCTGGTGGAGGCCCCTCCACAGCAGCAGGTTCCTTGGCACCTTGACTCTGATTCTGTCAGTCCCCACATGGGGAATAAGGCTGGTGTGTTTCCTGCAGCGGCTTTTAAGTTCTTGTGCAAGAGAAATGTAAAGCAACTTTAACGGAACCGGAGGCAGCTTGGTGAATCTGTCCCTCACAGGCGGCTTGCCTCCTGTGCCTTCCAAACTACTTCTCCTTCATTTGAATAAGTCCATTCAGAAACATCCATGTACTGCCCTGCCATAAAAGCAGCTTTCCACAAGGACCTACCATGCAAAAATCCATGCATAACAGAGTTTTCAAAATTATTCATGCAAAAATAAAAAGGGGCTGTGCTTGATGTGTGACTGGACTGCAGCAAGCACATGAACACTTAAAGAACTAAACCGGCCTCCCTGAACTGAGGAAAGGCTAGAGTCCTGGTTTAAAGCCCTTCCCCAACCCCTTTCAAAAGGAAACAAGGGTGGGAGTGCCTCAGGAGGATGGCTAAGCAACTTGGGGTGAACTGGGAGACTGTGAGTCTAACAGTTGTAGTTGAGATGAAAGACACATACATAGGGACCAGAATAGGGAAAGGAGGAGTTTTTAACATTTTAGTATCTTTTGGGCAGTCCTGGTTATCTGGAATGAGGCTCATGCCTGTTCCCAGTGCTGCCATATCACCTCCTTCTATTTTACTACCTTGTTTACACTGTCTTGTTTGGACTGAAAAAGTCTTTTCAGTCCTGTTAACAATTTAACTGCTGTATCCCTAAGCCATCACAAAATAACGATAACTCAAACTCCTCTTTAATTCCTTCCAAACACTGTTTGAGTTATGAGAGAGAGTTTTAGGCTAAAAAGTTTGAATTGGATGACTAGTGTTAGCATTTGTCAATCCGAGTTTGTCACCTGCATGCATGAGAAGGATAACTTGCCTGAAATACCCTGTATGAAGGTCTATACAATGAAAATAGAATTGTTGTAAATGGAAAATCAGATAGATGTTTACATTTGAAATAATTACCTTAGAAAAGATGCAAGTGGAAGAGAACTGAGGTAAGATTCCCTAGGCACAAGTAATTCTGCCATTACTTGTGAGGTTGACTTTACAACCTAATCATTCTTTTAACAGCTATTACAAGTGTATAGAGGAAACTTAAGTAACAATATGCAGGTCTAGAACATGATTTATGAAAGGCTAAAAACTACTTGCATTATTTAACTGTACATATTATGTTAAGTCCCCATAGTTCAGAGACTCCAGTCGTAGCTAGCTCTCTGTTATTCCTGGTCCTGGGGAGGACTTGGGGGGTTATTAAAACAGCTGGATAACATGGGTACAAACAGAGATGTAAGCAGTGCTTTAGAGAGCTGTGTGGTGAGTCCCTGCGTCTGTGCTGTCTTCAACCCAGCACCTTGGGAAGAGAGACCTGGGAGAGGCGTGTTGCCCAATACTAAAAATTCTCATCTCGGTTGAAACAGGACGGCGAAATAACATACTGGCGATTGGAGGTGGCAACCCCCTGATTTCCAGCGGTGCCCTTTTCTGACTTGTGGCTCCTGAGATGCCAGCTGTAGATAAGGGAGGAAGCTAAGGCCGGTCGAGGCTGCCCAGAGACTGTACAGTGAAGGGCGCAGTGCCCTGCCGGGTCCCAGCAGAGGTGGTCATTAGGCAGAGTAAGGGAGAGGCATAATGAGCGTGATTTGTTGCATGCCTTCGCAATTCATACTATCCTTTTACAGGGCAGGTTTACAGGTAAATGTTGTGAGAATGCAGTGACAATAGATGGTTTCAGCATTTGTAAGGTACATGGTTTCCCATGAAATGCACAACGTCTGGTGAAAACAGCTTTTCTAATAAAGAGCCTTGAGTTAATGAAAGACCAGTAGATTTTCTGGAGTACAAGTATGTTCATTTAGCAAACAGATGTGGCGCTTACTATACCCATCTCCCAACCCAGCCATTTGTTATCACTTCTCTGCCAAAGGTTACTTGAAAAAGAACCACGAGAGCACTCCTTAGTCATACACAGCAGCTGGTGAGGCTGTAGGATCCTGAAGCCCCTGCAGCTGTTTGCTAAGTGGATGCATGTCTGAGCTCCTAGGCATCACAGTCTTTCAGGTACGTCTGAGTATCTCACCCAGAGTCCATATGTAACCTTTATTATTCATTCCTATTCTTGTGTCTCCACAGCATATAGCGATTTGGGGTATTACATTATTAATAAGCTGCACCATGTGGATGAATCAGTGGGAAGTAAAACTCGGAGGGCCTTCCTTTATCTTGCTGCCTTCCCTTTTATGGATGCCATGGTGAGTGCCTGATTCAGAACTGAATTTTAATATTAATGTTATTTTTTTCCTTTGGTGACCTTAGTTCGCAAAGTCTGTTACCTGATGGGAACCTGGAGGTGTGCAGAAGGAAGGTGTGTCCTTTGCAAGCAGTAGCTCTGGATATACCTGAACACATCATCTCCTCCTACCTGAAAAAAGCATCTGGGTGGATTTGAATGTCCAGAGATCATGACAAATGTAAAAAAAACTCAGCTGCCTTGTTAGAGTTACTGTATGTGCATGCTGGAAATCACTGGTCATCTTGTGATGAGCTGCACCGGTTGTCTGTATGTGTCCTCTCATTCCAATTTGTAGTGAAAGAATTGGATTTGCTGTGCATTCCCAGATCACTTGCAGAGTTCACAAGGAATAAGCTCAATATTTTCTCAAAGCAAGTTTGTTGAAAAGATATTTCTTACCATCAATGTTTGCAAGCACAGCTAAGTCCAGTATATCTCAAATGCTTGGGCAAGAGAGCCACACATGGGATGGGCTGCTGCTTACCGGAGCACCAAGTTTACTGCTTGTGGCTTGCGCAACATAAAAATAGGGCAGCTCTCTTTAATGCCTCTACTTCTGTGTAAAACTGGTAAAGGATAACCTTGTCATGGCATGCCTCCACCACTTTCTCTACCACTTTGTCTGCTTGAAATAGTAGCTGACAATAAAAAGAAGTTGGATCATTAAGTTTTCTTTTCCAGACAGGACTCAGTATAACTCAGTGGGCCAATGAATATTACTCTTCAGAGGTGCATCCAGCTGGTGAATGAAAATAAACTTTTTTTTCCTTCGGATTATTTAGTATGATAATCCATCCTGTGCAGCATCTGTTTTATGAAGAAGGGGCAGTTTCTTATTGATCTGCTTGGGAATTTCTATACAGTCTATAAAATTATTCCCATTCTGCCTGTCAGCCCTGGCAATGAGGAACAGAATGCAGCAGTGCTTTCTCTGCATTACTGGTGTAACATTTGCCCAGGTTCACACCAGGTACTGCTGGTGGAAGAGAGCTTTGTAAGTTGTTTGTGTACAATGTAACAACCAGAAAACAGCATTCTGGGGCCTGAAGTCATTCACAAATACCGTAATCACTTCCCAAACTCTTCTCTGCCTTTTTTCAGGCATGGACCCATGCCGGAATTCTGCTGAAACACAAGTACAGTTTCCTAGTGGGATGTGCCTCCATCTCAGATGTCATAGCTCAGGTAATGACCCCTCTTAGCAGTCACTGTTCCCGTTGTGCTACGGACTAGGTGCTTTCCTAAGCAGGAGCTCTCTTGCACAGAGACTGCCTTCTCTCTCTGCTGTGAACAGCACACCCAAGGAGGTAATCTTGCGTGCTGTTCTCTGGCTGTTTCCCCGTCGTGTGGAGGCTGTTTGCTGACAGCTGTGGTTTAGGCTGGTCTCACTTGACTGGATCAAGTCAGTCCCAAACCAATGTCAGGAGGGAACCAAGACTATTTGGGCTAGGGCCATGTCTTCCAGCACCTCCACAGCCCTGTTTCAGAATGGATGAGGAACAAGTTGCATATACATGTGTACATCTGGGAAAAAGAAAGGTCAGGCAAAGAGACCAATGGCTGCTACCAATCCTGAGGCTGATGGAGTGCTTTGAAAGAGACGTTTCTCCCCCCTGTGCATTCTCCCTCCTTGCACAGTTGCACTGAAATCCTGAGTGGGGCTTATAGGTGGGGAAATGAAGGCTTGATTCTCCAGTCCACCTGCCAGTTTTGCACACACTGTCTAATCCAGTGAAATGCAGTCGTCTTAAGCCATCTTCTGAGTGCCAGTATGGCACTGTTCTTGTTACTGGTCCAAAAGGTGAAGGCTCAGAACTGCAGCAGAAGTGATCTGTGGTAATAGCCCCTGGGTGATACAGAGAAGACCAAATGTTGTTTGAACTTTTGTGAGGACGGTGTTAACTATCCTGTTGCTTCGTACTAGACACACTTAAAAAACAACATTCATACACATTGCTAATGGCCAGTGTTGTAGCATTTGAGAAGCAATATACAGCCCTCTTTTTAAAGCGTATGTAAAAATATTACGAAACGGAGAGTCCCAGCACCTGTAAAACAGTTGCTGTACTGCCCCATTACCAGCTGAATGGTGTAATGACTGGGTAAGAAAGAGGATAATAACAGTGCAACATCAAAGGAAATATGAAGTCAACAGCACTTAGTTCAATTTTCCATAGCATTTTCCTCCCACTAAATATGAGCAAACCATAAATCAAGTTGAACCACTCAGTCAGCTGCTATTCTATGTTTGGCAGGTCTGCCCCTCTACAGTACTGCACTAAATCCCTGAAGATAATACCAATTACTGTAAATGACCTTAACCCTCAGGATCTGTTCTTGTTCTAATGTGACCTACAAAGTTTGCTGACCCTAGATGCATGTCAGGTCATATACAGCTAAATACAGAAATAAATTCTTATTTTGGCCGTGGTACACATGCCCTTTCCACAGTGGTTGGTGAGTGGGGTGCCAGGGTTGTGAAGAATAAAACACCTGTCATCTTCTCTCCACGAAATACTGCAGAGAGCAAGAACAAATCCAGAAGACAAAAAGTTGTGACTCTCCACACTCCAGAACTCTCTACACCTACATCTGCTCCCTACACAAGCAATAGGTTCGCAGGCAGTAGCTAATTCTCCTCGGGTAGCTGCATAGACATGCTTTTTGTGACTGACTTCGCTTCTGTCTACTGAAAAACAATTCTTTTGTAGGGTTCAAAAGAACAGTTTTGCAAACCCTCATAAACAGCATGGCATGCCTAACAAACATTTGCACAGTGTGATTTTTCTGAAGTAGTTCTTGAGCTCTAGCAATGAAGGAGAGAACCTGCCCCTGAACAATGTATTTTGTATTTCATGTAACTCACTTGAATGCCAGCATGTCCTGGCAGGGTTGTCCTTGATTCTGCTGTTGACGGCACCAAACAAGTTGGCTTTCCAGTTGTGCCCCCCATCCAGAGACATTTGGAATTTAACAGGCACGCCATCAGCTCTCAACTCAACTTAACTATAGAATAATATCATATTAATCAATTTGTTTGCATTTTGTGGATTGAGCATTTAATCTTATGAGACTGAATTATGAGCTGTTCATTAGCCCAAAAGTTTCCATTTCATTTACATCAATGCGGCACTCAGCTGAACAGAGAATGATGAAATACTGAAATTTCACTCAAAAAAGTAGAAAATTAGGATGACATAAGACTTCCTGCTTCTAAAGGCTGAAGTGAATACTTCAAAACACCTGGCTTCTTAATTGCCGCTGCCCCCCTCTCCCCCTCAAAAAAAAAAAAGTAGGGCTTAGAAGCTGACTCTAGAAGCACGTCTCCTGCCGCAGTGCATATCAGAATAGCACATTCTCCTGGGAAGGCTGACACTCAGCCACATGCTTGCTGCCAGACCTTGCCAGACTTTCATGCTAACCTTCTCCTATTTATGGCTCCTAGTCTGACACCTGTCCATACCTTCAAGTACTATTTAATAGAGCTTCTGTATGATGTTAACTCGTGTTCTCATTTGTATGACCAAATGCAGGGGGGTTCCTGACTAAAGTTTCAAATGCCACAAGCTCAAAAGATAGGTACTGTAGTCACGCATCGTTGTTGGTTCAGATGGACTAGCTTGGAGTCAGACAGGAGATATGGTGGCCCTAAAGAAACACGCAGACAAATTACTAATCATTTATTTCTTTGGCCTGCAGGTTGTTTTTGTAGCCATTTTGCTTCACAGTCACTTGGAGTGCAGGGAGCCTCTCTTGATCCCAATCTTGTCCTTATACATGGGAGCACTTGTCCGATGTACCACGTTATGCCTCGGATACTACAGGAACATACATGATGTCATTCCTGACAGAAGTGGGCCTGAAATGGGGGTATGTCTTAATACTTTGCGCTTTTTCAAATTCAATAATTTTAAACTTGCTTTTTGTGTTATAATACTGTATTAAACCACTGTGCATGAAGGGCCTCCTCTCTTTGTCCTGCAGGAAAAAACATTTTCACTTAAAGAAGCATGGTACAAACTATTCCAGCAACAGTGCACATGAGGCAATGCTTCCCGTAGTATGGATATGCTGTCTACTGAGCGCCTCTGTACTGAGCTCTCTACTGAGCTGTAAGACAGCACAGCATGAACTAAGCGGACACCTTATTTCACAGGGAAGAAGCTCTCAAAATTCTTCTTCTTCCTCAAATGTCATATTGGTTTTCACGTATCTTTGGTAGTCAGAACAAATTATGCAGATGGATACCTTATGCATTATTTATTGAGATCCATGACACAGCTTCTTTTGAATCAGTATTACTAACATGAGTGAAAATATTTTAGGCTCCTCATATAGAAAACTATTGAAATGAATGTACCAAACTGACAATGGGTGGGAAAAGCAAAAATCCTTTCTCTGTGCTTTTGGTTTAGTTCTGCATGTTTTTTTCCAAACCCACTTCTTTTTTTTTTTTTTTTCCTATGTGTTGCAGGGAGAGGCTACAATAAGGAAGATGCTGAGTTTCTGGTGGCCTTTGGCGTTAATTTTGGCAACTCAGCGAATAAGTAGGCCCATTGTCAACCTTTTTGTCTCCCGGGACCTAGGTGGCAGTTCTGCAGCCACAGAGGTAAGAAAGTCAGTGCTCTCTATTACTGCAACCGATCGTTTGCATGGAGTTACCTCTGTGCTTCTCTTCTCAGCCATGCTGACAAGAAGAAAATGCCTTAAGGACATTTCTGTTTAGTGCTCTCTTTATCCTTGAAAAGAAGACTGCTTGGCTTCTTACCATGAGTGTTTCTGCCAGGCCTAGTGGGACCTCACCCTCAACAAGACCCGTAGAATTTTTTCACTGAACAGTTCCTGCGTCCCAGGTTTCATGCTCTACATATAGGTAGATATGCTCTATGTATGCTCTGGAGCATTCAGATCCCAGAGATTTTAGGACAGTCATCAGTAGTCCTATGTTCCGCTGTTGCCTGTTGTGTATTTATGGCTGTACAAATTGATGTGAAACTACTGTTAGCAGTCAGTGCATCACACAGAATAGGGTAGAGACGTAAGGAAGCACATAAAAAAATCTGTCTCCTGGTTCGGATATGGAATGCACCCTGTTTCTCTTGAGGAATTTCAGGTTACTCCAATAGTCTCCTAGAGCTGATGGGAGCCGGACTTCTGATTGTAATGCAGAACCTTCACCAATGCTCACCGTGAGCTGACCCATTCTTTTAAGAAGTCTGGGGGACTGTTGCCACCAGTTTCAGTGGGAGCATGTCTAGATCCACATAGTCATTAGCAAATCTCTCATGTTTTTTCTACAGGAAAAACAAAGCTGTAAGATACTAAATGGAAAGGAAAATTCAAACAGCTGATGCCTAACAAACATTCTCTCAGCACTGCTAGTTTGTCATACGGGATACTGTGTATTTCACTCACTCAGGAGTTGCCAGTCACTGCAACTAAACAGCTGTGGAGGGAGAATTTAGGAAACAAAACGCCTTTACATGTGTAAATCAGGGATCAGTCTATGTGTTTAAAGGTTGGACCAGATGATCCTTGAGGTCCCTTCCAACCTGGTATTCTATGATTCTATGTGTTAATAGCAGTCTCGGTACAAGGAGAGCCAGAGCGGGTTAGCAGAGATCAGTTTTGCGTTTCTTGGTGACTTGATTTTAGATGCATCACATTTCATGGCTAGCCAATTGCATTTTGTTGCTATGAGGATGACTCCAAATACATGTCATAGCTGGTGGTTTGCTGGCCTTTTTACGCTAACAGTAATGGTCACATTTCAACTTTCTCTGATTTCTGAAATAATTGCCTCTGAAAAGGGAGGTGCTGGCAACACAGATAACATCAGTGTCTGGAGCATCAGTATACGCAGGAGTTTTATGGGTATCCTGATCAATAATAACAGCAACTTCCAGTGTGGGCAGGATGTCCCTGTGAAGGGCCAGGCTGTAGCACGTTCATGAGGACAGCAAGTCCTCTTGCATTGACCAGCTCGCACTGTTTCTGTTTGTTCGGACTGCCGGCACAGTTAAGGTGACTGGGGTACCATTTTGGTGTTGGCTTTGATGAGGGACTTTTTCACCTGTCAAATACAGGTTCTAGACATTTAGGAAAGCCTTCATGCACATATTTTGGGATCCCACCACTTGAGGAAAAATACTGGAAGAAAAATCACTGCTAAAAACTTCAATAATTTATTCCAAGTGGAATCTAGCATACAAAATGTAGTAGTGAAATACTGTTTTCTTTAACAGTTACTGTGTCTTTGCAGTCTTTTTGGACTTTATAATGAAAATAACCAAAATATCTTTTGTATTCCTTATTTGATTTAACCTAGTTAGGTTTCATATAGATGGAAATTCTGCTGAAAATACAATAATGGTGGGGGATTGCAATTAAAAAGGGTACTGTCTTAAAATTCCAATTTGTTTTCTTTGAGCCAATTACTTTTTCAAGGTACATTAAACATTATTAAACCTATTATTATCAGGGAAGAATCTATCCCACTCTCTTCCTCTCTGTGGATATCACTACTTTCCCCCCTCTCTTTTTAAACAGCACAGGGAACAAATTAGCTTGGTACATCATGGTCCTGTCTTTGTATAGGTCTTTTAACCAAGCAAGGACAGCAATTACATTTCTAATGGGAAAATGGGCTCAGATAACCAAGAAAATGTACATCGAAAGTTTAGGAGTGAAACAGAGACAGCAGTAGTTAAAAAAGGTCTGCCTTAGTGCTACCATTGCCAGATGTAAAATGAATCTGAATTTAGGCAGATGGTAACAGATCTGAACCTGCAGACAAAAGGCAGTCAAACACTTCGATTTCTGGAACTAAGGGAGTCAGGCAGTTCTCAGTACAAATGCACACTTCAGCTCTGAGGACTAGAAAACTTGGGGTGACAGGAGATTTCCAAGCAGCTGCAGGAAGAGCTCCCTAAACGCCCTTAATAAGTGAAAGATATGAAGTACGTGTATTTGGACTTTTTTTTCAGAAATCAGAAACATCAGCAAAATCGTTCATACATTAATATGTTGGGTGGGGGGTTAGGTCTTTGATGTACCTCTTGGAATGTACTTGTGAAAGTGCAAAAGAGCCTAGCTTTAAATGGGAGGCAGTGAGTTGTTTCTCATGATAAAAATAGCCACCTGGAATTATTTTTGTCTGGTTTTCGTTGATGAGCACTAAAGTGGGGAGAGGTTTTTTTTTTCATCTCCTAAGTATCTCCTGCCCCAGAACAGTCAGTTTGATGTCCAAAGTCAGTCAGCCACTGAGGCCTACTGTTTTGTACTCTGTCTGTCTGTCTTGAAACTGTTTTACTTACGAATAACCAAGTAAAATGTATATAAATTAAAATTATGAAATAGGATCCAAAGCTACCGTGAGCTGTAAGGCATTCTGCTACTCAGGTATCTGTAGGTAAAATAACTCAGGAGCAATGTGGGAAGGAGGTATTCGGCTGGCTGAGGGGCACACACCTGCTCAAGTTAACTGTTATCCCAAAGCATCAGAGTGAGGGTGAAACGACAAAGCTGGGTAATGTAGCTTTGTGGCACGGAAGATTTTGTAAGCTTAAAAAGCCGGGCCAAATGATGGCCAGTCCGATGGTCTTCTTGAAACAAAGAGCTTCCAGTTGCCTGCCTGGTTTCTCACCGCGTCAAGGTCAATGTGGTGATATTGGGGGGAAATGGTACCCTGTGTTAACTGTCCTGTTCAAAGATCTGAAGTTCATGTTTCCCTGTCTCTTTTCATAGGCGGTGGCGATTCTGACAGCTACGTATCCTGTGGGCCACATGCCGTATGGCTGGCTGACAGAGATCAGAGCAGTATACCCTGCTTTTGACAAGGTGAGTGTCCGTGTTAGGGGTGTAATAAATAACCTTTCGTGTGGTTTCACATGCGTGGTCCTCCCCTTTCTCTCTGTTACAACATTTTAATTTAGGGGTGGCTTCAGTGATGTCAGAGGAATTTCTGCCAAACAAATATGAAGAAAGTTAGTTCATGGCTCCATAATCAAGTGTAACAGACTATTTAAAAAATCAACCAACCAAAGATTAAATAGGGCTGTATTAATGACCATCTATTGTTTTGCTTCTCTTTACTTTTGCTTTTGCTGCCTGTTGTTCCTTGTCCCACTGATAAGGTTTTCTTAAAATCCTAGTTAAAATGAATTTGGTTTTGGTGGCTTCAAACTGTTGTCTGATTTATGATTTGAACCTTAGCTCTGTGTTACAAGGTATTAAGCTACCTTTTTAATAGATAGGTGCTGTATTTTTAAGGATTAAAAAAAGTCCTCACTTACTCACTATGATGTAACTACTTAGCTAATGAAGTGATTTCTCATAAAGTGTCCGTCAGTGAGTGAGCAAGCTCACGTCTCTGCTCCACATTCTGTGGTATCTCTCAAATGGGTTTGGGTTCATTTACTTATGTTAATATTTAGCAAAGATTGTTTCATAGACTGACAGTAACACAGATAATATACATTATTTTAATAGTACTGACTTAGATGACCAAGACTATGAAGATTTTTGTTGGCAAATCATGTAATTATGTAAGAATGCAAGGACTGCTCCTGGAACTGAGCACAGAGTAAATACATAACCAAAATTAATTTAGTTTAGACTCTTTTTTTTGTCTGTTTTAGAACTGGTACTCACTAGCCCATATGTTGTGTGAAGAGCAGTCATGTCCTGTGACACCCTAATTCAAATGCCACATCCTCTCCTTCCCTTTATGTACCAATTAGTAACTCAACTTTCTGGTTCCAAATACTGATGAAATAAAATGTTTGCTTGCTCATGGATGTACTTAACTGAAGCAAGCCCTGTTTGATATGATCCACCATATTGCCAAGGAGAATTTAAAAACAAAACAAAGAAAAGTCAAATCAGGCATAACTTCTTAACCTGTCTGTGTACAGCTAAATTGACCTGTCAGATAAAGTACAACATGCAGGCTTTCTTAGAGGTCATGCTGCTGAAAAGGAACTGCAGATGCAAAACCAATAAACTGCAAGATAAAAATGGTTTGGGACAGGAAACACAGGGGCTGCTAACCTCATCTGTTACAAGCCACAGTCAAATGCACTATTGCCAAGCAAAATTAACAGCAATTAAGACTCCTAAATTCAGGTCTCATTTAGCTGGTGGAAGATGTGCTGACAACTTCAGTGGTGACAGGATTAGACCATGATTTGTCTGTTTATTTATTTCAGTTAAAAAGCTTCTCACAGAGCTCTTGTGGAACAAATGTGAGGAAGAAAAAGCTAGGGTAAGGCACAGATAGGTACAGTTTATCTAATTGCCAAAAAAGTATATAATAGGGATTTTAGTTGCATGTTTTAAGAGCAATTTGGCATAAAATGTGCTAAGTGAGGTAGCAGCAGTATAAAAGGTATCTCATCCTGGCAACCATGTGTGCAAAAGCCTCCACCGTACCTTTCAGACAATAAATACCAAACCAGAGACCCACAGTGGGTTTTTTCAGATCGCTGTGAGAATTGCTTTACGCTCGGTCACACGACATTCGCATGTCACCGTGCCTTTCAAAAGCTTTGTTTCCTTAAGCTAAGGCTTTCTCAGAAGAGTCCGGATAGAAGCACTTTTTATTTCCAGACTCTGTAAAGCCTCCATTGTGATTTTCAGATGCTGAAACAGTTTGCATGCATGCAAACTCCCGTTTTCTTTTCTCAGTTACTGAGAAAGCTGGCAATGCTGATGGCCATCGTAAGCACACTGCATTGCCTTAACTGACTGGTGGGATTTGGGATGCAGATAGTATGCCCCTCTTCAGTGGCTCTACTGGAGAAGTCAGATTCTGGTCTTCACAGGGAAATCGTTACCTCTGTTCACGTTTGTAAGAGAGACGCAGGGTCCTGCTTCAGTCTTTTATGAGTCGCTGTGTCCAGAGCAACCTCATGGCCTAGCAGTTACACTCAGGTTAAGGGTTACTACTGGTTTTCTGAAAGAGAACGGGCATATCCTAGTTCTGTGCTCTGTTTGCTGTTTTATCTGGTGATAATGCCATTACTCTTAATGGACTGTGCCGTCTGATTTAGAGCAACAACACTGGCTGTGAGAGGACTTGTGAATGCTATTTATCTGATTAATAGATGGGGCTGGATACTCTTTTTGCTCCATAATCTGCATAGTGTTTTGATCCAAGAACTAAGTAGTGTGCAAGAGATAGGAATAAAGAGTACGTGGTCAAGAGTTAGAGCAAAGGGCAGAGTAGAGCAAGGGAAGAGTTAGCAACAGCGAGGCAGGAACGAACTTTTCTTCACAGCCCTTTTGGGTGGCTGGATTTGGATGTGCTTTCCTTCCTCTCTGTTATTAAGGGCATTATATAAAGAGCAGACGTGGGAGTAGCTTCCTGCTTTAGGGTCTGGGTTGCCTACGTGCATCTTCATGCACCCAAACTTCCAAGCAGATATTTAGGCAGGAGCGTGGGGCTGTCCAGGTGCCGTTGCTGCACTGATCACCACAAAAGCTTTAAACTGCAAAATTCCATCAACTGCTTGAATGTGTGTGAAATGGTGTACACTTTACAGAGCTCACCTTCAGTTCGTCCGCTCCCAAGATGTGTTTGCATAAGTTCCTATTTCTCTTATGAGTAACTTCAGTAAAGGAGGCTGACTGTGTGACAGATACTGCTGTTCTACCCAAGTTACATCAAGGATGAATAAATGTTGTAGTATATCTCATGGTACAAGTTTTATCAGTGTGGGGACATATTTGTGTATCTCAAACAGCCCCGGGGTAAATGCAATACATGACCAAACAGCCTATTGCTACAGGGCTCCTAATGGTGCCCTGCTTTTAATATCCCATCCTCTCCTTTCACAGACCATTTAGTTTGTTTTTATGTGTTCCCTGAGGGCAATTTTAAATCTTCAGCTTCATTTGCTATATTAGACGTTTGGAAGAGGGCTTTTGTTGTTGTTTTAAATAAAACTTCGCTGCCATGTGATTACAGAGCCCATGTTCAAGGTGGAACACCTAATAGTCCTAATTATGTTCTGTTCATTAAACTGCATTAAGGGAGCGAGCTGCTCCAGGAGCTTTGTTTATATTACCTACTTGTCTAATTGGATCAGTAAGGGTGCTTGCATTGGCGTATGGATTCGGTACCATTCTGTGGTAAAAGGGAATGGAATCCTATTTTTCCTGTGAAAACATGCTACAGACTTTAAACGAAGGTAAAAAAAAAATCATGTGGAGTTTCGTTAGAAAGAGCTACCACGCTTTTTCAAAGCTGAATTTGCTAAATAGGACTTATTCCTTAGAAAAGTAGGGAGATTACTCAGCCCTCAGTGACCGCAGGAGCAGTTGCTGTCAGTTTAAGCGGAAAACATTCTGTGGTGGTACAAAGTACTCAGAAAGCTCTAGGTTCAAAAGCAAGCAAGCAAAGACAGACATGCATGCACATAGTCAGGTCCAACATATGACCCTGGTGCCATCAGCCTCCCGCTAGTCTGGAGCCAAGCTAATGCTCGTTATCTCTTTCTCTCGCCCTAGAATAACCCCAGCAATAAATTGGTGAACACCAACAGCACCGTCACAGCAACACATATCAAGAAGTTCACTTTTGTTTGCATGGCATTGTCCTTAACGGTAAGAAACCTTTGTTCAGCTCTCTGGCTTCCATCTCAACTAGAAAATTATCTCCTCTACCTAATGCTAAAAGCACTAGCAGTTCAAGAAAGGTGAGTTGTCTTTTCTTATGAAGGTCTGTTGCTTTTATCTGAAGGAAAAAAATCATGGTACTGGAGTACTAAGAAAATCAGCTATCATTAACTCAGGCAAGATATCTTATGGGCTAGAATTATTTTATTTAATTCTTCTCTCTACTTTTCAAGTCAACCTCCATGTGCAAAGAGATATCAGAGATCTGCGTTTCTTTTTTCTCTTTTTTAATGAACAAAACTTCTGGTAGACAGCGCGTCAGGAAAGTGAAAAACCGCATTTGTCTAATGTGCAGTGGGATGGCAGCCGGTCCCTGAGCATCATTTACTGTAAACGGTGGGAAAGGCAGCACATGTAGAAACTGCAGTAGCTGTTCCCTGCCGCCTCACATGGCACTCATCTTCCCTGCTGGGGGTACTTAGATGCATGTTGGTGCTGTTCACTCTGAAAATGAACTAAAAAGGGCAATCTCAGAGACGGTGCTAACAGGGACGAAAGGATCTAAAGCCTTGTCTGTGCTGGGAAGCATTGCAAAGGGCTGACATTCAGGGATAACTTTTGCTGAGCCTGCAGCATTTCAAAACAACCAGCTTGCACACGTACGTACAGTGCATCTTCCCCAAGAAAACTGTTTCTGCACAAGTCTTTTTAGCAACAAACGGGCAGTTGTGGAAGAAAACTCACGCAGGTGGTGGGGATCATAGCAAATAATGGAGCACATGACGGGAGTAAATGCAACTTCTGTTTCTACATAGGATGGATTTTACATTAGCGCTTGGAGCTGGTCAAGCTACCCTCTTCCCACTTCCCTCTTCCCACTAGCAACCATACCTCTGTCCATGACAGTCATTAGCAGATTTATGATCCGTGCATGGAGTCCTAAGGAGTCCTGGGCTGGCTCCTGTCAGGGCACCGCCGGGCTGGGATGCGGGCCCACAGGTGGGCCTGGCTCAGTGGAGCCCATGGCCGGGCAGGGCAGGGCTTGTGGGGGGCTGGAGACTGGCCCCGCTGCAGCGTCGCTGGGGCAGGGGCTGATGGCCCTGGGGGGCTGATGTGGGGTCCTGGGCCGTGGGCAGGGTGGGGGGAGCCCCAAGGGCTGGGCAGGGATGGTCAGGGCTGGCAGTGCCCTCAGGGCCATGACAGCTCCTTTCCTCAGTACCTGCACTAGCAGGTCAAAAGCCAAGGGGAACAGAAAATAAGTTTCTCAAAGAAAAAGTCCTTCTTCACACTAGAAAAGTAAGCGGGAAATGCTGCAATTGTTTTAGGATATGATGCTCAGAGTCCTAAAATTGAATCTGTTGATACCGCAGGCAGGTTTTCTCTTCATCCCCAGTGTTGCGTACCTTCCATGGGGTAGCTGGCTGCTTTGTAACTCTCTTCTCCCCATGTTCACAAATTTACTGTTGAGTAACGGAGGGCTGACATAATTTCTCTCTCCCTTTCTTTTTAGTGTAGAGCCTTTTGACCGTGTCTACATGACCTGTGCATGAAGGGAAACTGATTTATATCAAAGGAAACCTTGCAGTACATGAGCCTGCAGTATTTGTAACCATCCTCACCCCCTTGTCCCAATCTGAGAAAGTGGGATACGGTACTCTGTCTTATTTCACAGTTGAAAATGAAGCAACTCAATCCACCAGCAGCTGAATTTTAGCAGATTTCTTCTGCTCTTTGGTTCCTCTACTTTTTCCCTAAACTGGCCACTATCAAAGAAAGGATTGCATGAGCCAATGTGGTTCTCTCTTCTGTCTGTTAATTTCCTATATTTAAGATTGAACTCTTTTTTCATGTGGCTTAGAGACCAGAAGCTCTTGCTCTAACTTGGATTTCCTACAGCATGTAGGAAATTGGCCACTGAATTGGCCATTGTCTGGAGACTTTCTGTGGCTCTCATGTTGTCTACCATCACGCACCTTGAGGGTTTCTCTTGTGTGCTGTACCAAGCCAAGGTTACATTCTCTACAGCTGGAGCCTCCCTTGAAGTCTGTCAGTGTTGTTAGAGACCCACAAAGGGGAAAGCTTTCTTCTTTATAAATTGTTCTGAGAGTACTATTTCAGTCTCAAAGGTTTGTCTGAACTGACTATTTTCTTAACCCTTCTGGGCATTTATCAGCTTACTCGAGTTCTGATAGATCATGAGCTTCTCACATTACCATCACCATCCTCTGCAGAGTAATTTTTAATTACTACAATAGGCTTTTGTTTCGTAACTTTACAGGATTTTTTTTCCAAAAGTTCTCCATAGTACTTTCAAGGACAGTTCTTTCATAAGCTCATCATGAGAGATTTGTCTGCACTCAAATACCAGAAACACTTTTGAGGTTCATAGCTTTTCCTGTCCTGCTTCTATTTTTGCCTACTAGTGACAGATTCTTAGGATTGCTTGTCGACAGACAGAGCAGAAAAATAGACACATGAGCTCTAAAGACTCAGTTTGGTTCAAGGGCCTGAGCCTGCAAATGCTTTAGCACACAAGCTCAGTAGACATCAGTATGACTCAAGTTATTATGTTCTAAGGAACTAGACTTCAAATTTGCCTCTGTTGCAGTCAGGTCAGATGGCCACTGTAGCTGAGGTCCCATGGCCATCGGTGATTGCTGTGTTTTTCTGGAGGGGCTCTGTTGCAATGAATGGCTGTCAGACTAGTGGCATCACTGTTGGCAACATCTTGTTCTTCGGGATGAGAGGGAAAGTGGGAAACAGGCTCCCAGGCTGACCAAGAGATCAAAACATAGACATGCCATGTGAATCCATTCTTCAGTGGATGATCTATAGAAGGATTCCAGAAGATGGAAAGATAAAGGAATTCCATTAACCTGTGAAAAAAATAACAGTGAAACTTTTAGTATGAGCAGCAACCATGCAGGAAAGTACCCTCCCAGGGTAAAACACTGGGAAACCTCCCAATCATTGAAGAGATGCTATGTCATAGAGTTGGAAGAAAAATAGCCTGCCTCCTTCCACAGACCAGTCATGCATGCACAATATGTACTGCAAACCTGCTACTATAGCAGAAGCACTTTTTCACCCGTGCTGACAGTGGCAGTATTGGGTCAGAGTAAAAACAAAAAAGGCATAGTTCTTTTAAGAAACATAACTTTGTTTTTATTTTACATCTTCATGAGATGTGAAAGGCTGCACTTGAGCCTTCCCAGGCTGACTGGGCAGCATGCAGATGTGTTCTGCTGTGTGTGATCATAAGTACCGTCTCATGGCTTTGAAGCATCAGGCTGGTATTAAAGCTGCTTCTTCAAAAAATGGGAATTAGTTGTCTTGCTTAGTGAAAAAATTGTAGACAAGCTGCAAGGCTGTAAATAGAAGTCATTAGACTCCAAATATGTAAGAGAGCTGATGTGATTAGTCATATTGATGTGGTTTTGGTTGTAAGTAAGCAGTGACTCCTTCCAACAGCCCTGTTTTCTGGTTATGTAGCTGAATGCAAAATTTATATAGCCGAGGGGAGGGACTCAGCTGAAGAATTTTGCCCATACAATTAACGGACTGGTTCCGATTTTAGAAAATAAGGCATCCTTGGTAATTTACTCTCAGCTTAAAGAGTGTGCATAATGTGCTTGCCATTATTTGTTACTTCATTGCCATTAGGTGCTTCAGGAAAAAATGCTTCTTTCTATATATAAGTAGCGATACTGGTCCAAACGCCAGTCTTGCTGCCATTGCCAGATAAGGCTGTTGAAGAACTAAACATTTTGGTTCAATGCTAGACCTGTTTAGATGACCCTACAACGCAGCCCTGAGATCATTGCACAGCTGTAAACTAAGTGAAGACACAGACTCCCGAGAAAGAAAACTGGTGCATTTGTAGCACACGTCCCTTTGGCTGTGGGATGTGTCAGCCTCAGTACAGTGCAGAAATCCCAAAATAATTTGTCCGGGTGCTAAATTACTGCTTATCTCCATTGCCGCAAAGGTTTGCTACGTCAGGGGAGAGCATTCCCTCGCTCATGAGCTGTGCGTAGAGGGGCAGGCTGTGCGAGGAGTGAGCTACTCAAGGGAACCCTGCCTCGCCCAGCAGGCGTAACAGCAAATGTGCTGCGCTTCAGCAAGGGTTTTTCTTAAAGTAAGTGTCTCTGAGCTTGGACACTACAGTGCAGAATTCAGGGGCTTTCCAAGGCAGCCTGTAGGGCACAGCTACTGCCAAGTTTCCTTTCTCTTTCTTTCTTTTTTTTTTGTTTTTTTTAAATTCTATCTCGATTTCCCAGTTGAGCTCTTCCTTAAGTCTTCTGTGATGACACGGAAGGTGCAGTCACTTAAGATCCTTTTCCCTGGCTAATGTTAGCTGCTGGCAGCCACGTGATTAGCGTTTGGTCGTCTGCCTCTGAGCTGCAAGGCTTTCCAGGCTGATTTTGTGTTAGTTAGTGCCTGCTGTATGAAAGAGATGAGCAGGGGGCTCCTTTGGGAGGGCACGAGCTCCTTCGCTGCCGCTGCTGCTGCCCACTCCAGGCAGCGGTCACAGCCAGGCCCCCACGCACACGTCTCTGTGCAAACCCAGCGCAAGTCGGTCAGGTTGCATGCCTTGAGTTGAAAGCAGGCCATCGATTGTGCAAGCAGCAGTAGGGA